TATTATAGGTTTTATCCCTATGCAAACGTACAAAGAACCTATTAAAGGAGAAACGCTTGTAAACCCCCATTGAAGTTTTGTACTATCTGTATTTCTTGGGTTTAATTAATTCCAGCCATTGTGTTGGCCCATTGCAAAGTATAGCGGCTCGTCCAACAAGTGAAATTCTTGTACTTTATATCTTTATTGCATTGTATATTATTGTAGATCTAGGTTTAACATATTGTACTATGTAATATCAACGCTGTATATGAAATACTGGGGGCCGGGGCTTAGCAGTGGGGGGGGGGGAGGGGTATGGTACGAGAAAAAAATCTAAACCAAAATTTTACATATATAACTCCCAAAAAAAGAGTTTGACCCATGTTGCAACAGGAATATGTCGGGAAAAAATTTTTGGAACAGGACTACATGAAACACTTCTATTTTAATAGAATAGCCTCGTTATGGAATAGCTTGCATAGAGACTTTAAAAGTATTATTTTCTTCACTCTTTTTAAAAACTAAATACAGGCCTTTTATAGGAAGAAGTTTGAAACTAATTACTCCATTCCGGATACTGTGTAACCAGTAAAGTGGTTTTTAAATTTGTGAAGTAGATATAGTGTTGAGTTCAATATAAAACTGTATGTTATCCAAATATTAGTATGACGTAATACTGAGAGACAAATGCATGATGGGATTGTTGTGTTGTTAGTTGAACTTCCTCGTGAAAGCAACTTACTGTACAAAACTACATTTGTAATAAACGTGAAAATAAAGAGTGATTTCATTACAAATACGGTGTTCTAAAGTCATGGCTTCAAAAGGTTATGGGCCCAGCAGAGAATCACGCTGGTCAAGGTTGACTTTCGATGGAAACGAAAGCAATTACGAACTGTGGGAAGCGAAATTCCTCGCGCACATGAGGTTATTAAAACTAAAGGATACTATCCTGCCGTCTGAAGAAGAGGCTGACGCAACAAAGAACGAAGAATGCTACGCCGAGCTTATACAGTGTTTGGACGACACCAGTTTGTCATTAGGGAGTTTACGATGTACGACGCGGTCAGCTCGACGACGTCGAGTCAAATTATGCTTGAAATAAGCCACAGGAATTTAACTATACTGCTTTAATTGTCTAAAGCATATTTTAATAATCTTACAAATGTTTAAATTGGCCTAAACTACTCCGATGTTTAGCTGATGTTGCCATTCTGTCAACGTTATAAAACAGCTTTCATGGCGCAACGAGCTTTGATATCGCTAGGAAGCCGTGAAAATTACACGTTTGACGGTGTCCCAAGAATGGCAACGTTGTTGACAAAAATTTGAATCTACAAATTATTCATCCCTTTTGTCTCGCATGACGTGTTTCTTTGTCTTGCAAGCGCGTCGTCGAGCTGGCCGCGTCGTGAATCGTAAACTCTCTAATGGTAATGAGGGATGCTACCGACGATGGCCGAAAGGCTTTACAAATACTCCGAGACCATTATGCAAATCAAGGCAAACCAAGAATCATCACACTCTACACTGAGCTAACGTTACTTGAAAAAGCACTTCACGAGACAGTCACAGATTACTTAATAAGAGCCGAGAAAGCAATAACAGCGCTTAAGAACGCCAAAGAAACGTTAAGCGATGGGCCAATAATTGCTATGATCTTAAAGGGGCTGCCTGATTCATATAAACCGTTCTCGATACATGTGACCCAAAGTGCAAGTGAGATAACGTTCGCGAAGTTTAAGAGCATGTTGAGGAGCTTCGAAGAAACGGAAAAGCTCAACACCAAACCGAAAGTTGATCAGGTAATGAAAGCTGAGTTTCCTTCGCAAACAATGACATGTTATGGCTGCGGGAAAAAGAGGGCATTTAGTCAGAGAGTGCCCTGCTAAGAGCGAGAAGAAGTGGTGTAACTATCACAAAAGTACAACACACTCGGATAGCACCTGCAGAAGTCAGCAAAAGAGGAAAGACCAAGCCAAACAGGTGTCGGAGAAAGAAAACACTTCTAAGGATGAACATTCATTTGCATTCAAAGTTAACAACGAAGCAACAGCGAAAATCAATCGAATGGGAATGTTGGTTGACACAGGTGCCACTTCTCACATTGTTACTACTGATATTTTAAAGCAAATAGACATGACATTTAAACCATCAAAACATTACATCGAACTGGCTGATGGCACACGAGCCAGTAATATTGCATTGAAACGAGGGGATGCTGAAGTGTTTCTGAAAGATACAAATGGAAAATGTGTGAAAACGTTGCTGAAAAACGCCTTATATATACCATCCTATCCTCAAGATATTTTCTCAGTGAAGGCAGCCACATCAAATGGAGCCGAGCTTCGATTTGCCCAAGATACTGGTGAGCTAACCCTTGAAGATGGTACCATTGTTGAAATTGAAGAACATGGACGGTTGTACTATTTGACTTCCATAGACAGTCATGAGAACGATAGCGTAAGTGAAGTAGATAAAGTAAATCTCTTGTATGATATTAACACATGGCATGAAATCCTAGGGCACTGCAATTTTGAAGATATTATAAAACTACAGGGGGTAGTTAAGGGCATGAAATTCTCAGGTAAAATTGAGTCATCTAAGTTAGGTTGTAATCCATGTGTAGAAGGAAAATTTGTAAACAGCAGGAGTAGGATTCCTGATGCAAGATCTCAAAAATCATTGGAGAAAGTGCATGTGGATTTGGCAGGTCCAGTTTCTCCTGTATCAAGAGAGGGGTTTAAGTACTGCATATCTTTTACTGATGATTTCTCAGGAGCAGTATTTGTTTACTTTCTGAAATGTAAAAGTGACACCTTTGTAGCAACAGAGAAATTTCTAGCAGACATCACTCCTTATGGCAAGGTAAGTTGCATCCGTTCTGACAATGGCTCAGAATTTACAGGTAAGGCGTTTCAAACACTACTAAGGGAGCGTGGCATAAAACATGAAACTTCTGCTCCCTACTCGCCACACCAGAATGGCACCGCTGAAAGGCACTGGCGCACATTGTTCGAAATGGGCAGATGTCTTCTTCTTCAATCAGGGTTACCCAAAACTCTCTGGCCCTATGCAATTCAAACCGCAGCTCACATTAGGAATAGATGTTTTAACAAGAGAACAAAGACAACACCCTACTTTAGCCTTACTGGGAAAGTACCTGATCTTTCTAAAATGTGGATCTTTGGATCTGAATGTTTTGCTCACGAACAGGAGCATAAGAAATTAGACTCAAGATGCAGCAAGGGGGTATTTGTGGGATACGACAAAAATAGCCCTTCTTACCTGGTGTACTACCCAAAAAATGGGAAAATCATGAAACATCGACTCATTAGATTCATCAAGAAATGTAGTGTAGAACAGCACACACAAACTGATGAGTCCAGGCAGGGATTGTGATGTACATGAGAAATCTGACCATGATACTAGATCGGACTTAGATAGTATGAGCCTCCCTGTTTTAAGTGCAATGCCGCCAAATACAGTGCCTGATGAGGAGCCTAGGGATAGTGAGGGAAGGCATTGCAACCATACTGAGAATGACAGTGAGACAAAACGGTATCCTCAAAGAGAAAGGAACCCTCCCAGATACTTAGAAGAGGACACCATCCTCCCCAAGAATGCCGATTGTGCCCACATTAGTTTAGATTACTGCTACAAAGTTTGTGGATTACCACAAAATTACACAGAAGCCATGGGATCACCTCAAGCCAGGGAGTGGGAGCAAGCAGTGAAGGAAGAGATCAGCTCTCTGAAGGAAAATGATACTTACGAATTATCAACTTTACCAGAAGGTAAAGCTTCAGTAGGGGGAAAATGGGTGTACACAACCAAACAAGATCAGAATGGCATAGAGTCCTTTAAGGCCAGATATGTAGCGAAGGGTTACAGCCAGGTAAAGGGTATAGATTATCAAGAAACGTTCGCCCCGACAGCCAGTATTACTTCAATTAGGGTCTTAATGCAGTTAGCAGTAAAACATGATCTTATTGTCCACCAGATGGACGTTAAAACTGCATATCTGCATACCCCATTACTCAAGAGTTATACATAGACCAGCCACAAGGGTTTGAAGAGGTTTCAGAGAGTGGTGAGAGGTTAGTATATAGGCTAAAGAAATCGCTATATGGTCTAAAACAATCAGGTAGAAATTGGAACATATTGTTACACGAGCATTTAGCAAATGACGGTTTTTTCAGAAACCATGCTGATCACTGTGTATATAAGAAACAAGTTGATGATAAAATTGTTATCGTCATTGTTTGGGTTGATGACCTAATCATAGCTTCAGATAGTATGCAGTTAATGGAAGAATTTAAAGAAAGTATGAAGACACAATTTAAGATGAAAGATCTAGGTAGAATCACTTTCTTCCTTGGAATGGATTTTAAGCAAAGCAAGGGTGAAATAAAAATTAATCAGAAAAGATTCATTCTTAAAATACTAGAGAGATTTGGAATGATAGACTGCAAGCCCAGGTTAACCCCATGTGAGCAACGATTAGAATTTAACTGTGGTGAATTGACCAACGCCAGACAGTATAGAGAAATGATAGGAAGCCTAATTTATGCCATGACCTGTACAAGGCCTGATTTAAGTTGGATTGTAAGCAGACTGTCTCAAACTCTGTCAAACCCCAGAACGGGAGATTTAATTGCTGCCAAACATGTCCTAAGGTATCTAAAGGGTACCGTGGATTATGAACTCTGCTTTAAGAAATCTGATGCTGACTTGCAGCTCACTGCTTATAGTGATTCAGATTGGGCCTCTTGCCTGGAAGACAGGCGAAGTACTACAGGTTACTGTTGTACTCTAACTGAAGGAGGACCACTGATTTCATGGAAGTCGAGAAAGCAACCAACGGTTGCCATTTCCACTTGCGAAGCTGAATATGTAGCTTTAGCAAATACAGCTCAAGAGTGTTTGTATCTAACTCAATTGTTAAACGGTATGTATAAGAAAGTACATCAGAGTATGAAGGTAAGTGTTGATAACCAAGGGGCAATTGCACTAAGTAAGAACCCAGTTAACAGACAACGTTCTAAGCATATTGACATAAAGTACCACTTTGTACGTGAAATGTATGTTAAAGGCATGATCGATATTGTATATTGTCCTACCCAAGATATGGTAGCTGATATCCTAACAAAGCCACCCACAAAATGTAAACTAGATAATTTTAAAAGTATCGTGTTCGGTTGTGGTAATTAGTTTATATTCTGATAACAAGTGAGGGTGTTGAGTTCAATATAAAACTGTATGTTATCCAAATATTAGTATGACGTAATACTGAGAGACAAATGCATGATGGGATTGTTGTGTTGTTAGTTGAACTTCCTCGTGAAAGCAACTTACTGTACAAAACTACATTTGTAATAAACGTGAAAATAAAGAGTGATTTCATTACAAATACGGTGTTCTAAAGTCATGGCTTCAACACATATCTAAAAAGAACTTATTAAATAACTAATCTGTCATCATGCAAGCTACAGGGTGTCCCAAAACCCCCCAAACCATTGAAATAATGTATTGTTAAGATTTGAATGCCCCGGCACTAAGCTGAACGCAAAGATCCATAAATTATTGACAGGGTGCATATATTAAATATTGACTTATTAAGAAATTAAAATATCTTTGTAAAGCGCACGATTTTCTGCTCTTGGGAATTTAAAGCAGTTTCTTTATGTATATAAAACTTACTTATGTGAAGCTTTTATGCACTTGTGAGTTCAACAGATTGCTGAAGCATTCAAATTCTAACAATACGTTAGTTCAATAGTTTTGGGTTTTGTTGGAACAACCTGTACAGTCCGCAAATGGCATGACAATAGACCTTTCTTATAATGACGTGAAACGCGGGGAAAACACTTAATTAATGAGATGTCCCAAGGGACAATTTTGAGTGACAAGTCGCAATGCAAATTATGTTTTTTTATGAAATTTATTGGCTCGCCAACAACTTGAATTGTCCAGCTGTGGCACATTGTATAAATTGTATAAATACATTTTCCACATTTGACGTCATTATAAGAAAGGACTATTAACGTGTTTCATGTAAATTACAGCCGCCATACAGTCTGTACATGTGCGCCTGCCTAGCTAGCGGTTTTAATTTCAACCCTTAAAACCGCAGGCTATGCACCTGTAGGCTACCTATACCTGAATTTCACACGCACTCTTCTCAGTGAATTGTAACTTTTAGTGGAGAAATGTATTAGAACAAACGCAGTAAAGAACAATTTGGTTTCACAAACAGGGTTCGTACGCCCCCTACCAAACATCTGAATTTGTATTTTGCTCCTGGAAACTGCTTGAAAGCACTGGAATTAAAAAAGTAAGCCCTGGAAAGCCCTGGAAAACTGTACGCATGCAGGCCTAAGCATTCTACTTTTAAGGACACGATTGATTACAAACTTATATTAGTGATATTACTTTTAACGATAATTATTGGAATATAGTGAAGAACTTATTAGCGAAGAACTTATTAACTTCTTTTCTTTTTTTTTATTAACTTTTTTTTAAGAACTTATTAGTGAAGAACTTATTAACTTTTTTTTTTACTTACTTTTTTTTTTGGCTTATTAGCTAAATTAGGCCTACTTTTGTCATATTTCGAAACCTGGAAAATGAGGGGGAAAAGTGTTTGACGGCCCTGGTTTTTCCAGCTTATGAAGGTGTACAGCCCTGCCAGTGAGCTCTATATATATCTGGAGTAAGAACTTCAGTCATTCGGTCAATGAGAAAAGCGAAGCCAAGATGGCGACCATTGACGTCCAATAGCTCTGAAGGTCGTAAACAGTTTTTATACCATTTTCGCCAGCTAAATCCAGTTTTTTCTAACGGTTCATAAAATCACGATACTATTCATTAAATCAAAGTCAAAATACGAAATTTCAACACACTCCTTGCCAAGATGGCGGAAATTGAAGGAGCTATTGGACGTCAGTTCCAGTCCCTTTCTATTGTTTTTGTCTGCGCGGTTAACACGAAACTGGCTTCACTTTGAGCAACCAAGTTCCTACTCCAGATATATATGGAGCTCACAGAGCGCTGCCGACAAGCAAAATGTCGTAATAAGTAGCCAAACGAGGTTTAAAACATTGTTGTACAATTTCTAATTTTGTATGCTTTTGAAGTGTAATTGTCGTCTGCGACCACCCTGATGAGCACTGTACCAAAGTACGCTACAAAAACGATGATCATGATAGAGTTAGCAATGACATGTCGTCTCCAGTACTTCATCCAAATCTTTTGCATCGGAATGTCATAAAAGTGAATCTGAATGAACACAGAGATAATATTGAATGCAAGATCTATGGCCAAACTTATCGCTACCCGGATTAAGGAAGCTTTTATCACTTGCCAGGACGGAACATCGTAGCTCGTTACAAGATAACAGGCTAAAAACGCCTGACTTAAGATGACCATAGTGTACTCGAATAAGATATTCTGAATTTCAAGATCTGCGTTGAATCGACGAGTACGTGGCGAGTTTAAAGGTTGTACTTTCAATCTTGGTCCACATCATATTCTATTAAGACATTTTACGAAGAACTTCCAAATTTTTATACGGAGGTTAAGAGTTGCCTTACTCAAAACGTTTGAGACGCCATGCAACAGTGATAAACCAACGAAAAGCCAGATATTTTGAAAACCAGACTGCATGGTTCGGTATAGTACGATCGTGGCCCCGCGCATGAAATAACACAATACAAAAGCGCGATCTGGTGTAATTATCTCCGAGCTCTTTTTGAGAACAACGTATTTTATAAACGCAGTCAGTGGGAAAATTATTCCTGGTGTGAGTGCGGCGATTATGGCTTTCTTTATTTTGCCTTCAGTTTCTCTAAAATACTTGATGATAATAAACGTGTAGATATAGGCAAATAAGCAGGCACCTAGGAAAGCGAACGAAAGAATGAAAAAAATGCGGAACACACTGTACGATGTTGCTGGATTGACTTTCTTGAATTTACGAGCAATTAGGTAGGCACCACAGACAATGGAAAGTATAAATAGGAAGTTCCCGGGTAATCTAAAAAAAAGCACAAAGACAACTAGTTACAAACATGGGTTAGTTAGTAAGTCAGACAGCGAGTAAGTGAGTCAATCGGTTAGCATATTGATCGGTTGAAGTGTTGTAGTTGCTATACTTCGTTAGGCTTAGTGATTCAAACATAGTTAAAGGACAATGGCAACGAAAATTTTTATTGGCTATTTCAATCCTACTTGACGACCTAACTATGAAAATATTATCATTTCCTTCTCGAACATTTTAGTCTACGAGTAAAATGCATACAAACTTTGTGTTTCGCCGCCATCTTGGAAACATTTTTTGAAAAATTTTCTCGAAGGTCAATGAACTTTGTGACGTCATTAGATGCAATATTTTATGATCTGTATTGTAAATTGCGCCATTCCTTGCTTTCCCAGTCGCTCGATATGTTTTTATCTGATAGTGTAGACTTCTCTTATCTGATTGCGAAGAGTGTTGGCCAATATAAGGCTCAAAACGACATATTTTTAGTTAACATAACACGCACGCAATATTGTAGTTTTGGTGCTACCCACTAGTATTTGCCTTGTTAGACTCGAATTGCTGCGTTTATTTAACACGGAGTAGGATATATACTATGAGAAATAGTGTTACAAACAAGTTACATACTTGGTAAAACCTGCCTTTTGTTTTGGCTCAAGTCAAAGTGCAAATAGTAGTAATACTCTGCATGGGCGTACCGGAAGGAAAAATTTAGGGAGGCGGAAAAAAATTTGCCCGACTTTTCTGGATTTTGCCCGACAAGTACCGAAAAATTTTTTTCCGGAATTTAGTTTGGCGACCTCCCCCCCCCCGTCGCCAAAAAAATTTCTCAAAAAAATTGAGCTTCTCGAGAAAAACATTCGCTTCACCGGTGAGTAGAAATCGGAAAAAGTGGGGAAATTCAATTGAATCGCTCATGTATTGCGGTTTTCCGCAGACACAATTTCTCGCAAAGAATTTGCTATCGTGGAATCAGGAATCATATATGGTGCTAGAAAGAGCCCAAAATTTGATGACGTAATTGTTGAATGGCCCAAAGATGCTTTTCTCAAAACGTGCCTGGTTAAGTATTTTCTCTTTCGGATTGAATGTATGTCGCTAAAGCTAGGGGTTACATGTGCGATATTTTCTCGCGCGGGCAACACAATTCATAACCGGTCAACAGTTTGATCGCGCTGCCGTGGCAATAAAACGCGCAATGATTTTATCGTCCGATAAGAGAAGTGCGAAGGCACTTACTCAAATTGAGGCTGAAGTCGTGATTCTTGCCAAAATTTAGCGCTCTTAATTTTAGACAAAAGTTTCAAAGTTTCATGTTCTGATTGATAAGAAACTAAAATATTATCTTGTCGATATAAACTCCCTAACACTCATGTAGAAGTGTATGCATTTGTAGTTATTTTTGTGACTGTGCCATGAAATTTGACCCGTTGTATTGCCGGCGCGAGAAAAAATTGGCACGTGTAACCTACACTATGTTTACATTGTATCGGATAGTCAGGGCCGTTCCTAGCACGACAGTTCGGTATATTCATATATCCGTGTGTTCTGCCCGACAGTTTCTTTTTGAAAAGCGATTGTTTTGCGGTATGTGAACATGAATGTATGAATATACCCTCGCGTCTAGGAACGGCCCTGCAGATAGTTTGCGTAGCGACGCAAAAACCATACCGGATGGGGCCTGTGTTTACATATGAAATGATGTAATCGTATCGATTTCTGCATCGAAGCGTCCATGGTTATGCCAGATTGGGCTGTCGTTGTCATTGTAATGTAAACACCAATCTTAGCAATTTTGGATTCAATTCGTGATTCAAGATGGCGTCTATCTGATATAATGTAACCAAAAACATGATATGATGATATAATGTAAACATAGTACTAGGTTTAACATCGATTTTGTAGTTATGGTCTTTGCAGTTGGCTAAAAATAGTTGAGAACAATAAGTGACTGGGGAACATAGAGGGCTGTGGGATTTGTGAACAAAGGAATAAGACAAAACACCGAATTTTTCTTCTCTAGATATTTTTATGTAAAGTGATTTAGGCCAGCTGCAAAAAGGGCCTATTACTCACCTGTATAGGTTGTAAGCAACGTCGGTAAACTTATCAAACATAACAATTCTATAAACACACGTTATGGAACCTGGCACAAATGCACTGAAAAATAAACACGCAAGGTAATCCTTTTTGAACTCTTTGAAGCGCCACAACATGGCAATGCATGCTGGAAACCATGAAAACAACGGCAGTAATTTGACAGACATTCCAACAATCCGTAATATCTTTACACGCGCTGGAACACTGACATTTCTATCTCTCCATTCTAGGCACGGCTCACATGACAAATCCACGTATACGACCCCAACTGTGAGCGAACCTAATATGAAAACAACCGAAATTATTAATCCGACATTTGTCTTCAAACTTCGGATAAATGATTCCAAGAAATTTCGCCTTGTATCAGCTGGCATCAAAACAAACATTCCTTCTTCATAATAAGGCACCTCGGTCGGTGCCTCTTGCTCGTACTCACGGTGTATTAAGCCTTCGTATACTTCGTCTTGTTCAGGATTTGGCACGGATATCAACGTGTATTGCCTTTGCAGATTTTCTGGGGATATCGGCGGTGTTTGAATAATCAAACTCGAGAAAAGGGCCGCACAACTACCGAAAAGTTCCTCCAGAAACATAATCCGTTTAAAGTACTTGAATTTGTCGGACTCCTAAGAAATTTTTGACTCGTAGAGATACAGTATGTGTATGAAGGCCTGATTCCACGACAGCGAAATTCTTCGTGACAAATTGTGCCCGTCAAATACGGATGGTTGCACATGAGCGATTCTATTGAATTTTGCCGCTTTCGCAGTGAGTTGAACCACAAGGAGTCCAACTAAGAGCTGTGTTATGAATATGAATAAAACATATTAATTAAACGTAATATGAATAAAACATCATAACGTAATAAATTTAAATTATTGCACTTACTTGTATAAATCATAAGAGCTTGCAATTACAATGAATAGCTTCAAACAGGGCGCTTATATATGCTCAGAAACATTGATTAGAACGATTGTTCAAATATGGCGAAGAAATTGACAAAACGAAAATATCACATGACGTTCCAACGAAAATAACAGAAAGGATTACGGGCGCGAGCGGAAGGCGAGGGTAATAGATATTAATAGAAAGGATGAAACACCGGTAATGCGATCGTGTGATGTGTTCCATAAGTAGCCTGTTCTCTCGGAAAATTCCAAAACGCCTCCTGCCAACTCCAACAACGCCTACGCGCTTAATTAATGAAAATAAACAATGTTTAGCTATACCGGCTAATATGAAATGTTTAAATGTAGCGACCAACATTTTTTTTGTTGCATTATTTAGTTTTATTATTATTTAGTCATACGTCACGAGGACAGGCTACTTATGGAACACATCTCGCGAAAACGGCTAAGAATGTCCGCTGTTATAAATCACATAAATTACATTGATCAGTGTTTTATTGGTAATTACTATAGGCTTGCTCATGTAAGAGAACATCTACTGAGCCCTAAAAATACCACATAAAGCTTAAACGGATAGTCTAGAAGCATTTTAAAAAGTCACGTGATATTTGTTTCATCCCCTTTATTTATTTCTTCCCTCGCCTTTTCGTTCGCGCGCCCGCAATCCTTTCTGTTATTTTCGTTGGAACGTCATGTAATATTTTCCTTTTGTTAATTTATTCGCCATATTTGAACAATCGTTCTAATCATTGTTTCTGAGCATATATACGCGCCCTGTTTGAAGCTATTCGTTGTAAATGCAAGCTCTTATGATTTATACAAGTAAGTGCAATAATTTAAATTTATTACGTTATGATGTTTTATTCATATTACGTTTAATTAATGTTTTATTCATATTCATAACACAGCTCTTAGTTGGACACCCTGTGGTTGAACTGACTTCTACTCACTGGTAAAGCCAATTATTTTTTTTCTCGCGAAGCCTAATTTATCTTTAATGTGCACCTAATTCATTTCGCGCGAAATGTTTCGCATTTCGCTAAAGAAAGCGCCCGTGGAATCAGGCCCTAACATACTTAACAAACGCTCTTTTATATGGATCAGTCAGGCTAATCGAATTTATTCCTTCATTGATTTTATCATTTTCGCGTAAGGTCCCGTTTGAATGTGAAAGCGGGCAAAAGATTTCACAATACACCTTTTTCATAGGACCAGCTTAACTTGTTTATTCACACTTTTTAGAGTTCGAAACAATTTCCAATTCTCATGCAATAAACACTGTAATTAGTTAACATGCACCGAAGGACGTAAACGAACGAATAGCTCGTTAATAAGAAACGAAACAATCGTTAAAATCTCTGTTCCCTATTGGCTGCCGCTACTTTATTCGTTGGCAACCGTAGAACAGCGAGTTCTTATTGGTTTAACGCTTGGTATAATATACTCGGACGAAAATTGGTCTTGTGGTTGTGTTTTGGATAATTACTTTCAACGCAAGGTCAACGTAATTTTAAACTTCAAAATTTGCATAAACCACATATAAATCATAAGTACACAGGAAAAAATCATGTTCTTATTTTAAGAGAAAAAAAAACTTGTTTTAAGAAAATTTTCTTGAAATAAGAAAATATTTTCTTGGGAGAATAACAAGAAAATTTTCTTAATAAGAAAATTTTCTTAAGAAAATTTTTCTTATTAAGAAAATTTTCATGAGAGAAAATTCTTAAATTGAGAAAATATTTTCTTATTTTAAGAAAATATTTTCTCAAATCAAGAATATTTTTTTCTTATTAAGAAAATTTTCTTGTTATTCTCCCAAGAAAAAAGTTTTCTTGAAATAAGAAAATTTTCTTAAAATAAGAAAATAATTTCTTATTTTAAGAAAATAATTTCTCCAAACAAGAAATTTTTCTTAAAAAGAATTTTCTTATTAAGAAAATTCTCTTGTTATTCTCCCAAGAAAAAATATTCTTGAAATAAGAAAATTTTCTTAAAGTAAGAAAATAATTTCTTATTTTAAGAAAATAATTTCTCAAACAAGAAAAAGAATTTTCTTATTAAGAAAATTTTCTTGTTATTCTCCCAAGAAAAAATTTTCTTGAAATAAGACAATAATTTCTTATTTTAAGAAAATAATTTCTCAAATCATGAAATTTTTCTTAAAAAGAATTTTCTTATTAAGAATGTGTTGTTTGGGTGTTTATATGCATTCTCTAATTATTATCACTCCGCGTATTTTCAGTTCTAAAATGTTGTATTTCAGCTGATGAGAAAGATCGTGCCTCAATCTTTACGACCGTTACGACTATATGGAAACCAGGCTTAAAGCCTGGCGAACGTGTTGTAACTGTCGTGAGTAGTGTTTGCGATTCGCGACCAAATGGAAACATGAAGAAAACTCTTCTCGCGACACGCTGGCAACAGTTCACGACAGTTACAACAGTGTCGTCGAGATAGGCTCGAGTTCTATCTCGACGACAGTTGCGACAGGCTAAAAACGTGTCGTGATGGTTATGTTTTAAGGGAAACAGAAAAACGACAGCGTGGCAACAGTTTTGCGACAATCATGGGAGACAAAGGTCCCCTTTGGGGGACCGTGTTTGTCTTCTTAAATCTGCAGTCAGCTGCTTGTACGATCGCTGGTACGAAATTAACTTGCGGCAGTGTCACGACAATTACAACCATATGGAAACAAGCATAAAAATCATTCACGACAAACACTTCGCGATATCTTTCAATTTAACTGAGTAATTTACGGAGGAATACATATTTGATATAAATCGTAAAAATGTTTTGCTGCACCCGCATGAAATAAGCTTAAAGGGACACTCCATCCCCAGAACAAGTGTCGCTCATAAGAAAGCTTTATATGAGCCTACCTTGGAATGAATATTTGTTCGCCTCAATTTTTTTCGTTTGCGAGAAATTTAACTTTGTTTCACTGATTTTTGGTCCATTATCGCCGCCATGTTTGTTGAATCCGCCGGTGGTCCTATGAGTGCCGTGACGTAAGTGTGTGATAGAAACAAATTGTATAATCAGATTTGCTTCGAAACAAATTGTATAATCAAGCTTTAGAGTTTCCTTTTAAATATTTTTAACCGAAGATGCCTCATTTCATGGTTCCTGAGTGTACTAAAAAAACTCACGGAAAACTGTGGGAATCAGCTACCACAGAATTCCAAAAGAAAAAGGTTTGCGAGAAGCGTGGTTGGCGAGAATTCGCAGAGTAAGCCCACGCGATATAAATAATTCATGTGTTTGTTCGGCGCATTTTACACCAGACTGCTTCGAAAGAACGCTCGATCTTGTGCCTGGCTACCAAAAAAAGCCAAAGCTAAAATCAGACGCAGTGCCATCTATATTTCCGCGCAGTAAGCCAGAAAAAGCTAGAAGCACAGGGCGAAGAAGAAATCAAATCCGCTCTGAACAAGCCAGTCAAGAGGTATTAAGCCATGAACGCTTGCATGTATTTGTAGTATAAAATACTTGTACATTATGTAATTATTTTGTAGCTTTCATATTGTGGCAGAATTAACTTTCTGAACATTTGTACGTTATTAGACACAAATAAAGCATAAACACTTCAATAACATATATGTTGTGTATATTTTTTAATACTTGCTGCATATATTTATAATATTAAATTGTGTATTTATACGAGTTCATATTCTAAAAAAATGTACAACCATCATCTTAACTCCTTCCGACATCATATTGGGACAGTAATATGGAAGACAGACGCTGCATGCTGTATTTTAGTAGCCATGCACATGCACAACAAATCCAACATAGGGCCAGAACTAATAAGGGGAACATTTGCATTAATGTATAAACCCTCAAATTTAAATTCACACACTGCACTGCATTGTATTTAGACACATTCTTATTTTTAAGATACTTGAAGACTGTATTAGTATGCAAATTGAGAGCTCATCGACATCCTCCCAAGCTATTGAATGTACTGAATCTGAAAGTCAATCATGCACAATTAGTTCTGTATCTGAAACCCAATGTCCCATTGATGGCATGACAGCAAGTAGAGAAATTGGCATACAATGTGAACTGTTGGTTGACCACATTCCAATTATTAAGCCTATGACATCATGCATTGCAACCCAAACTGAATCCATGCTCCTTGAATTACACACCCCTGCTCTTGCAACTGTTAGTGGAAATGATATTGCACAATCTGATCAAGAAGTTATGTATATTGATGCACCTTCCTTAAAGGAAAGCACCAGTCTACCAGAGTGTCATTCTCCAAGCACTTTTGCAGAAACTACTGACCTACTTGAAAAGGTATCACCTCAGAAAAGCATCTGTTCAGAGTATACATGCACACTGACTGATACAGATCATAATGAATTATACATGCCTTCTGCTGAAAGTCAAACCGAAACAGAGAATGAAAGTGATGTAGAAACAGAAAAATCTCCTGTAGAGCAGGAAAAATTTGTGGTGTTTGAAAAAAATCTAGATGAGCTATTTGTTACTTGTTCCACCTGTGCTAAGCCAATAGTTGAGCAGTCTAAAAAATGTATTGGTAGCGTGGTGGTTGTTGAAACAGTATGTGTTGATGGACATCAGAATAAATGGCGGTCACAGCCTATGATTGGTGAGAAGATAGCAGGCAACTTGTTGCTTGCTGGATCAATACTGTTCAGTGGGAATACTTTTCAAAATGTAAACTCTTTAGCCCATTGCTTGAACTTGGCTTTTATTGGTAGAAGTACATTTTATGATATGCAGAAGGAGGTTCTTTTTCCTGTAGTTGATAAGGCTTGGAAAGACCACCAAGTTGACCTGCTGAATGAAACAAAAGAATCATCATGGAGGAAAATAGCAGTAAAATTCTAGATTTTGAAGTCGTTCAGGTCACAGAGGTCTCATCATCAAATGCTATGGAGGCTGAAGGATGCAATCGGGTCCTCAAACATTTAAAAACAAAGGGGGTAAAAGTGAGATGTTTGACTACGGACAGGCATACAACAGTGACTGCAGAAATGAGAAAAAAAAACATTCTGAAATTTCACACCAGTATGATGTCTGGCATCTTTCAAAATGGGTGGTCAAGAAATTGACAAAGAAAAGCAAAAAGAAAGAGTGTAAAGATTTAACAGATTGGATTCAGTCTGTTTCTGCTCATTTCTGGTGGAGTGTTGCAACATGTGATGGCAACTATGAATTACTCATTGAGAAATGGACATCTGTTGTCAATCATATTAGCAACAAGCACTCATGGAGACATCTGTTGTCAATCATATTAGCAACAAGCACTCATGGAGACATGCTAAGCATTTCAAGAAATGTGCTCACCATAAATTGAGCCGACGGGAGAAGAAAGAAAAGCCTTGGCTAAAACCTGGTACTGCTGCTCTTGTTGCCCTTGAGGACATAGTCTTCAACATAAAGCTACTCAGGGATTTAAAGCTGGTAACAGAGTTTCATCATACTGGAAATCTGGAAGTTTATCATTCCATAATGCTAAAGTACTGTCCCAAGAGGCAGCACTTTAACCATGAAGGAATGGTTGCTAGAACACAGCTTGCTGCCCTGGACAATAATCACAATTGCTCTAGGAAGCAAGCTGTGGTCAAGAAGGGATCCAATGTGGGCAGTCTACGATACAATCTTGTTTTCCCAAAGATGCGCAAAACATGGGTAGTAAAGCCAATTAAGGAGGCCAAGCAGTTTGATTACATTACTACACTGATGGAAAATATCCTCAGGTATAAAAAATCAAAGAAACCGAAGAAATCCCAGAAAGCCAAAAAGTCTGCCAAACATGCAAAAAATATTGCCACAAAAGAGAAACCAGACAAGGAAACAGCAATCAAGGCTCACATTAGCAGATTCTAGACAAACTAACAAACCTATATTTATAATAAACAAACTATAAAATGAGCAAATGATATATGTACTTGTAAGTTAAGTGTCAAAAGGCCCAATTTGTTCATATAACATTTAATTAATCATCTTCATCAGATGCTGGCTTAAACCCAACATAAACATGATCATCCTCAGGTCCAGGAGGTGGGAAATGTGCTCTGATGCAACTGACAGCACAAGATGGCAAGGCGACTCGAATATGCCTTCCTAGCACCCCCCAACCAAATCGTGCAAGTTGCTGATAAGCAATATGCCTGTTCCTTTGGTTATCTGGGCCTTCAAATGGGTTCTCGTACTCCTGCCTGTATTGATACCATGCTGTTCGGAGTACAAACATGTCCAAACACACAGAAGTAAAGGCTGGATTATCGGTGATGCAAGTAAGGGGATCTTTTATTTTCTTAATGATGGTGACTTCTTCATTAAGGGATAACATTTTGGGGATTTCCTGACAATGACCACATTTACACCTGAGGATATTTATATAGTAGATAAAGAGTGAACGCAATTATCTCGGCAATTATAATATATTTCCATTGCACAAAACTTACCATTCTAAATTATCCAAGCGACTTTCATCAGCCGAAGAGTTCGAACCCTCTTCATCTGCTTGGCTTTCACTGTCACTGCTGGAACTGGAGCCTTTCTTTATAATCGTAGGTTCGAATAAATATGGCTGCAGCGAAAACTTTGCTTTGTCGGTTTCAAATTTTACATTCATATTCGGTGATATATCTTTGTCTACTTCAGAAGAGCTGCTAGTACTCGATCGGGCCATAATTTAAAATGATCAGTAAGAGAATAAACGATCAGTAACAGAATTTATTTACCCAAAATCACACCGAAATGAATTACGAAGCTGTTAATTTATAGTGTTTACATCAAAGACTGAGTGTTTCTATCACACACTTACATCACGGCACTCATAGGACCACCCGCGGATTCATCAAACATGGCGGCGATAATGGACCAAAAATCAGTGAAACAAAGTTAAATTTCTCGCAAACGAAAGAGAATTGAGGCGAACGAATATTCATTCCAGGGTAGGCTCATATAAAGCTTTCTTATGAGCGACACTTGTTCTGGGGGTGGAGTGTCCCTTTAATGTCATACATGGATGTCTCAATTGCTTTTAATATATACATAACACGGTATCAAAAAATTAGTTTTGTCGATATCCCTGTATAATATTTTGTAGCATCTTTCATTTATTTAATATACAGAAACGCAGACAAAAAAATTATACTTATGATAAGATTAGGCCGAAATTTCGGCCACATCACACATAATTAATTGCCAAATTAAACAGTAAAATTTGCCAACTTTTTATAAACGTAAACATTGTCATTGACATTATATTGAAATAAATGTAACACAATGATCTATGAACTGTACCTAAGACATAATAAATTTTAATCTTGAATGCAATTAAATTTATTGAAACAAAGGCTTTGTTATTAAAAGCTATAGTATATCTGGATTAGTATTATGCCAACAGCAAACTTTGCGCTTGTTATTATCCTTTTACTTCAATTATGGCACAAAAACCAAATATCTTAATATCTCTCCATATAACTATCCATATCAATAAAACTTATTGCGGCTGTCTGCATGTGCACAGGTACAATATGCGGGCCTTGAATAAATGAGTAATTAAAACAATATTACAAAAAATTCTGTCACATTCTGTGACACCTATTGATGGTATACCGTCTGTTCACAGACTGTATATACTATGAGACCATACAGCACGCAAATTATTTTTATATCAGAAAATTCCATCAACTTTGGTCCAGGCTTTTTAAATAATAAATAAACTGAGCAAACTCTAAGTGGTTGGATATAATTATGATGTTATTATACAAGTCACTGAGTGAGTATACGAAATACAGTCATTGAAATGATTTAGAAAAATTGGTAATAATATTCTAACTGTCGCTGTAGTTTGAGCAAGTTGTCCATTGTTATTTGAAGAACATTCTGGGCTTTAGCCACATTGATGTCTGGTTTTTGAAAAAACAGAGACAACTTCTTCAAATATGACAACATATCTGTTGTCATTGTAGTGTTCTTTATGAAATACCACCTTCTTCATTAGGCACAAAAAGCCCTGAGCTTTTGCAGATCCATCAGCGGAATGAGGGTTAACCTGAAGCTAAAATATAATAATTTAATTATAATATTAACACAAAAATATTATAAAATGAAATACAGTAACTATTCAAGATCACCTTAGAATAAAATGCTTAGATCATTAAATGTTACATACCTCGCCAAAGTGCTGTAGCAAAGCTGGATACAACGACCACATGTTTTGAACGGCAGTGTATGTGTGTGGTATCCAACGTGTACTGCCAACTCGGGTTGGAATGCCTTTCATGCCCAGAGCAACTGAGCTTACCCTGAGCATACTCCTGTTCAGAGAACTTGTGTGGTAGAACGTGTATATATTGTTTAGAAAGTTCACTACTTGCAACTGATTCTCACCTTTCTTTAAAATATCTTTAAATGCCAGTTCTAAGCGATGGGCATACAGTGATCAGTGGCTGTGATATGTTGAGCAGGGGCTGTTTGTTCGTTAGACATTTACCAACATCAGAATGACATCCCATACTCACGCTTGCCCCGTCTGCACTGTAACCGACAACCTTGTTATATAGATCTTCATCAGGAATACCGCCAACTTTCGTCAAGCTATCTTCAACCACTTTGGCGATGTTCTCTGCATTGGCTCAGTCTAGATTACGAAGTGCCAAAAATCGATTGGACAACTTCCCTTTATTACAATATCGCACAAACATTTCTGCTTCGCAAACAGACAAGTCAGTTGTACCATCTGTCATGACACTGTGAGAAGGAGCAGCAGATAATTCTGAGGCAAGGTTAAGATGCTCTGCTTCCACAATATAAGACATTCAGAGGTTCACATTATGTGTGATTTTGTGGAGATCGACGAACCATTCGTAGTCTGAAAATGGTCTTCCTTTCTTGCCGAAGAGTGTGAAACTCGAAACAGCACATACATTTTCTCAAACTCCGTTTCATGTAGCACTTGCAATGCTTTTTTGGCAGGATTTGTGCCTGGTGGTGCTGAACGAGCTTTAGCATTTGCTACACATTTGATATGACCCTTACTCAAGACATGCTTGCACAATGACTTGACATGAAAATTATCAGAGCCCTTTACAAACGTGCTCGTTTTATCTGCATGTTGATTGTTCATGCAAACATCACAAAACATCTTTTTGCTCACTAGTTTAACCCATGGAAATATGTGTTGCCACGACGGATTGAACTTGCGCATTTGTTTCGCTTTTGGGTTTTTATTTTGATCTTGATTCTTATCATTAACAGTTGCCAATGATAAACAAATGCTGTTCTTGACTCTTGTAGCTTCCGAAACTCTTTGTGTGCACTCAAGGAACAAATTGTGTTAATGAATATAATAATTTACACTTTATTGAGAAAGAACTAATATGTGTACAGCTCTTTAGTTTATCATTTACTTTACTGTATACAGTGTATTTATCACACGTCATAAGAACTGTGCAAATTTTCAAAGCCCAGTAACAAAAAGAATTCACAATCACAACATTCACAACCTGTCAAAATACAAGAGTCATGCTATAAATATATATATACTAGCACTACCATTTACATTCAAGCATACATTGTAAACCTTTTCACACATTTGCTTTCCTTTGAAACGTTACGTTTTGTCAGTAATTTGTCACTTTTGAAAAATGAAATTGACATGTTGAAGCGTGCATGAGGTATGTTAAATTAAGTAACATTTTGGGTGCGTCTGCTTCCAGAAATTTACATGTATACTTCCAATTCTATAATTACGAGTTAGTTAAGTTTGATAATTTGTAGACGGATCTTTCACTAGATATTATAGGCAAAGGAATTTTAATTCGTTTAAAAACTCATTTGAACAAGAAACGCTCCTGAAACAAAAAACAACGCTTGAAAAGGTATGCAATGCATGCTTCAACGCAAATGGCAGTAAGACAATAGTCTGTAAAAACAATGACAGTCAGTTTTATTGACTGTCTGAATCTGTGTCTTCTAAATCAGACAAAGTGTATCTCGCAATATCCACAGCACAGTCAGAGGCTGAACAAGTCGTCTTATGTTTCTTGGGGGTATCGGTGTGGTTTCGCAGCAGAAATTCGTCGGACCTTATGCTCAAACCACGCTTTTATAGCTTCGTTGGGATTAAACTCTTCAATGGATTTCCCTTCTTCACCAATCCGCAGGCAAGAGTCTAGCCTATCCCTTTCTAATCTATTTCTCCAATCAGTTTTACCACGATTCATGCAACTGAACATACGCTCAAGTTTGGCGTTCGTGAAGGGAGTTATCAGCAACAACTCGATGATATGCAACACATCTGAACATTCGTTCTTTAGGTCATTCTTGACCATGTTTCTAGATATTTCACTTGGTTAATACTAACAAGCATGGGTCACATTCGATTCTTTAAAACTTCCCACTGGGCTGGAATGTTTGTTATAACACATCCATTGGTTTTCAAAAGCCCCTTCCAAAGCTCAATCAGATAGTCAATGGCACTGTCAACAGAGACCGCTCATCTAAAGGCCAGCAACTCTCATTTAGAATGGATACCAGATGCTTATATATCGGACTAGTGCTCAGATCGGCAAAACACTCCTCAACTGAACGACATATTCTTGTATTCACCGAGCGATTCTTCCAGTTCACGCTTACTGCTGTGAAATTCTTTGAGCTTGATATTCTGATAGACTTTGTTCCGATCATCATCTTCTGACACCTCCTGAATGAACTTGATGTAATTGGTAAGCCTGCTGGAGTTACCATCCAAAGAGTTCGCAACAAGCATTTGCAACTTTGCCGTCGTCCAACTGAACTCTTGTGCGCGACACAACATGGTTACCGGATTGTGCTTGTCTTTTTCCATATTTCCACTTCTTTACAAAACCTTAGATTTCTGCTTTCTTAAGACTTTTGAGAATCTGTATGGGCAAGAGATTCAAGGTGAGCAATGAATATAACATAGTTTTGTAAAACAATGGTCATTACTCTAAACTTATGCGCTATCCAACGAGTGCCTCCGACTTTGGCAGACTTTGGAATGGATTTTTCATATATTTCTGCAAATTCACGGAGTTCTCGCAAACGCTTTGAACTTTTCTTGTATAAATAGAACAGTTTAACCAGAAACATATCTATTTCATCAAAGTTCCCCCAAATGAATCTTTGATAGCAAGCTCAAATCTGTGGTTGAAACAATGGACAACAACAGGGCGTTTTTGCGCAACAAAATACCAAGCCCTCCATGTAGCTTCAAGGAGAAATCTAGTAAGCCAATTCTGCTGAAGGCAAGCTTGATTACTTCTTTCAGTCCTTTGGCATCTGTATGTTTTGGGCATTTGATGCTCAAGAATTTAACCTTTGGATAGCCATCGTTGTTGACAAACAGAACATAAACAAGTTCCTCTTCGATCACTGCAGCATCAGTGCTTCCATCTGTCAAAAGGAATAATATCTCGCGTTTGCTAAATCTTTTGCCAAATCTTTTGCTAAATCTTTTGCCCTAATTACATCTCCTATTGCATCGTTAAAACCAGCTGTGGCATGATCATTTCTGTAGAACTTGTACTCTTTAACACCATTTTTAAATTGAAGGTTAAGAAGAGCTGGATAATCACTAAAAGGACGCTCTTGTTTCACCAGATAATATGCAGTATTGAAACATACCCGAAGGACTTCTTTATCTTCATCAGCCATTCGCATAAGCCTGTGTCCAATCGGGGTATTCTGAAGAACGTGTTGATTATAGCCAGTAGCTCCAAGTTGCTCTTTGTTGCTGAGATCAATAGCTTTAAGGTGAACATTGCAGGTCAAGTGTTTTTTAAGAGTTTTTTCACATACTTAGTTCCCTCAACCCATGCTGGTGTATAGCTTCGCATCTTAGTCAAATGATTTTTAAACTTCATACATAATGAGCATTTAATACTCGTGACTTTACCATTTGTGATGCCCTTTTCCAATTTGAAGTTTAAGTCTTTTTCCCATTTAATTACTGTGTTCAGCGAAGCAGAATACTCCGCCATTCTGTTCACGACATGTGCGAAAAGCCGAAAACCATGATGTAAACAACCTTGATGAGGCCTGGGGTGACAAGATGGCGACTATTAAATTTCCTTGTAAAGTTCGTTCCAAAATTGTGTAAATACATGATATATATCAGGTATGTTTTTCGTTTCACATGTTTTTTTAGAAAAACAAAAATTTTAAGAAAAAGAATTTTATTCAAAAATTTCCATTTGCAAAAATAAAATTTTCGAATCGCAAAAGCAAGAAATCAGCTTGCAAATTGCAAATTGCGACCTGCTAATTCGAACCCTGCAACAGTAACCAAAGCAATACCAACCACGGTAACTGATGAAAGAAAGAAAGAAGATGACATGTATAATTATAACATTAGTCTGACAAGGTAATTAAAAACATATATTGTACCTCAAATTCAAAGTGTCCAATCGGGAGGCTGAGTTTGCCACGTGAGCATGAAATGTATCATCTAATCGCGTTTTACGTCATCGTATTTGATGTACTGTAGCAATTTGGTCATTTTACGATGCAATCAAAAAGGCGATGGTGAACGGATCCTCAGAGTGCAAGAAAAATATTGAATTGTGTGCACATATCAAATTTGCAAGCTTTTTACTCTGGATCTGAAAATGCAAAATATATGAATACTTCCCGAAGAAACCAGGTTAGTATGGCTTTATTTCTTTGTTCTCATATCCATCAAGGCAATGAACTGTTTGACGTTTATTCTAGAGGCAAGCAATGTGCTTTTATTTATCAAGTGCTTCTTACAGCCCAAAATATCCCATTGTCTGCATGCTCGTTTAGAACATTTAATAATGTCTTAATACAAAGAGACAAGATGTACTTAAGAGCTCTGAGGTATTGAAACAATATGATTTCATGAATTTATGGTCAGTTTTAATAATAGCCCACCCGATCTATTCGTCAATAATGCCTTATTTATACAAGGAGTCAAAATGCACTTTATAGTTTATTTGTTTATGTGCCAAGCCATCCAAGACAATTATTATTGTTTTTTATTATTGGTTTATTTGCCAAAAAAAAAGAAAGACTGTTAGCTATTTACAATGAGTTTATATAGTGTTCATTTTCTTGATGTTTATAGTTTAAAACCAAATGCAGAATGTTGTTAAATCAGGCTTACTGTAATAAGATTCCTAGAGCAACCCAGTGTGGTTTGTTGTCTGGACATATTGTCTATTGACTTACCAGCAATTACAATTTACATGTAATAGTATGCACGTCAACTAACGTTTGTATAAGGCCTCTGAGATATGTCCATTGTTAGTGTAAGATGAAATAATCCTACCAGCCTATATTTATCTGGCTGTGTTACTACATTTCAGAGTATATTGTATTTTTTGATAATGCTCACAATTTCTTTCTTATTAATATAGTTTTGCAGTTCTGACTGAGTACAATCTTAATCATTACAATGAATGGTGTCATTTGAAGCTGACATAGTAATCAGTTGATGTTTGTTGATCGGTTGATGTTACTCTGAGTGTATATCCACACCGGACAAGCTTGAAAAATATGCCTGACCACTTTGCCCGGTGTGGATATACACTCAGAGTAACATCACAAACATTATATTCACCTCAGTACACAACACCAACACAGAAAATTCATATTACAGGTATATGCACCCCAAAAACCACATTGCCATAATTCTTTTAAAATATACTCAATTTATAAATGCATTTAATTTAATTTTTTTAATTTATTAGCTTTGCCTTGTAGATAACTATAATACAATTAATGGCAGGGAGTCTGTAATAGCACTTCGCCAATTACTGCAGCCCCGTAAAACTAACATTAAAACTAATATTACAAATTTAACAAATACAATAATCAACTAATAACAAACAACATATGAAAATAACAGCGATACGTCTTTTACATGCAGCACAAGATTGGACAAATGGTTTTGTACGAACGAGGATCGTTGACATTGTAACAAGTTCTTAATGACATAGAGTAAGTAATAATTAAAAATGACAGTTAAATGTAGAGAGGCCACATGTGTCCAGTTTTAGTTGATCAGTGAGAAGGTTCCAGATCTGAGTTGATCAGATAAAGAAGGATCTTTATAATAATTATAATAATATATTTATTTCACACAAATTGTTACATAATTTAGGTAAAGCCGAAGCCATATGCTTATTTGGCAAAAATATTTGAAAATATTTGAAAGTATAGCTCATGGTGGTCGGTACAAGAAATTAAATATGAATAATTCCAACTAAATTATACAAGAAAAAAAACCTGGAAGAAGCATTTATATTAGTAGAGTAAATGTAAATGCTTCATGGAAAAAAAAGAGATATACAGCCATATTTTAGTCCTACTTTTTAACTCAGAGCCATTCCAGATGAACATGTCAACCATTCTAAAAGGTTAAATAGTAGTTCTTTAGAATACTTCAAAAATTTTGAGTTGTCAATGATTGCCGAATTAATAAAAGAGGGAGAGAATTCCAATTTTTTGGTCCTTGCACACGAATGGAAAAAGAATATTTATGGGAAGTGATATGCAAATCCTGTCTATGCCTTGTAAAATTATCATGGATGTTATAGTTAAACTCGAATAAGCAAGAAATGGGCGAAGGAAGGAGATTGTTAATGTGTCTAAAAATAAAACACGAAAGTTGAAATTCATAAATCTGAAAGACAGTGAGAATATTTAATTCCTTAAAAAGTGGTTTGGAAGGAGTGAGAGGAGAATGCGTGAAAATTCTCACGACTTTTTTTGACATTGAAATAAAGGATGAAGATGTGTTGTGTAAGATGATCCCCAGATAATAGTGCAGTACTGTAAATAAGGCAGGATTAAAGAATTGTATAATACGGAGAGCGTTGATCTATCAAGGGCATGACAAGATTTTGCAATTATTCCAATGTTTTTGGAAATTTTTGTAGTGATTGATTGTATATGTGGGATCCAGGACAAATTTTCCTGGATAGTAATTCCCCAAAATATAGTTTGGCTAACCCTTTCTATTACGTGTCCATTGATTTTTAACTCATCCTGTGGGTCGATGTTTTTTTCCCCTGCTAGGATGAAAGAGTATAAACTTGGTTTTATTTATATTTTTGAGGGAATTTATATTTTTGTCACTATAGAATATATTAGTGTCATCTGCGAATAGTATAAAAGATAGGCAGTTGGATGTATTAAATATATCATTTATAAAGACAAGAAACAGTAATGGTCCAAGAACCGAACCTTGGGGAACTCCACATTTAATAGTTTTAGGTGAAGATTGAACATTGTTGATTTCAACATATTGAGATCTTTCACTAAGGTAACTTTTAATCCATGAAAGGGCATTACCACGAAAACCATAAAAAGACATTTTATCAATTGGGATGTCATGGTTGACAGTATCAAAAGCCTTTTAAGATCTAGAAACTCGCCAACAGTTAGCATATTATTTTCAAAACCATGATAAATTCCATTGACCAGTTCAAGTATAGCCGTAAATGTAGAATGATTTTTTTCTAAAACCGTATTGGTGGTGGTTTATAATTTGAAATTTATATAGGAAATCCATGAATCTCTTATACATCACCTTTTCAAGTATTTTTGAGAAACAAGGAAGAATAGAAATCGGTCTAAAGTTGGAAAATCATTGTTTTTGTAAATAGGCAAGACCTTAGCAATTTTTAGCTGGTTGGGTACACTACCTTTGGCAATTGAAGAGTTAAATATGTAACACAATGGCACTGCAAGTATGTTAATACTTGTTTTAATGATAGGCGTTCTAATGCCGTCTACCCCTTTGATAGGTGGATGTTTTGCATTTTGGAGCGACATATTTGGAAGATCTAGTTTGTCGAGAGGTGTGGATGGTTGCAAGAAGAGATGCATTTATGTGTACAAGTCCATGGGTTATCTTGTAAAAGAGAACCATGTCAAGGTACTTCTGCCAATAACAGATTGGTAGGAGCAAGAAAGACTGGAGCCTGGTCGTTATAGCCCATAGTACTGGAAAATGGTAACTAGAGGATGAATTTAGTTGCTCTTTGTGTGTGCTCGACTTGTTTCAACAGTTCAACAGACTGTGGAGCCCATGTTTGTGTTGCATACCCTAGGTGTGGTCTTACAAAGGCCAGATACAGCGTGTTGTGGATATACAGAGATGATCTTTGGATGTATCCAAGTAACTTGTTTGCTTTGATCGATTGTTCGTCGACTTGTTTGGTTGTTCGTTGACTTTTGTATTCAAGTAAACTTGCCTAAAGTGAGTTCTTCCTGACAGTTCTTGTTTGTTGCTTGTAATTATTGTAAAAGATATGACCTGGTGAAATTGCATGTTTTTAACTCTATGTACCCACATGTGCAAAAACCCACATGTGCAAATATAATGTTATAACAGTATTCAAGGTTTTTCGACTAAACAAACCCCAAAAAGTTTATAACAATCATATTTTGCAAACTTAGTCTTATAGTAAATTCTTCCAAGCCGGTTTCGTTCATGCAAAAAAAAATTCAAAAGCTTACACATGTATAGGTATCCTAAAATGGTTCATCATTAGTCAACTGCCATGTTAACTTCTACTTAATTACTATAAATCAAGCTTGTGGTTTTTGGGGTACCTTGGTTTTGTGGGTACATATACCTGTAATCTTTGGGGAAGATTTTCCTTCCTTAGCAGTCAAAGATTCCGAATTATCTTGGAGCCTTGCAAAAGCAACCTTACAGTGCGAAACTGCACTCTTCAGGAGGCAGTCCTGTGGCATTTGTCCGCCCAGTGAACAAATATAACTATTCAGATCCTAACCAGGTCAGGTCAGTGAGGATTATTTTCCACAAATACTAGACCCTAAAATTTTCTCAGTTTGCAATAAACGAACACTTCCAGATGCTATGTGCAAAACAAATTATAAATCGACAGGATTTTATGGTGAAGTTAGACCTCAAGGACGCATATCTAACAGTTGATGTTTATCTTGACTCTCAGAAATACCTGAGGTTTATCAGTTCAAAGCCCTGCCATTTGGCCTAAACGCAGCAGGTTTTCACAAAATTTCTCAGGCAAGTGGCAGCATTTCTCCACACACAAAACATCAGACTTCTGATTTATCGGTTGTGCAAAGTCCTTTGATCTTATGACAGCACACAAATATAGTGATAAAACTGCTCCAAGATCTGGGGCCCTTAATCTATTGGGAGAAGTTAATTCTGACACCAATCTAGCCTGCGAACAGGCTCTCAAGCTGAATTGAGAGCCTGCATCGATGACTAATGAATTTGAATATCTGCCCGTAACGTTCGTTTTTCCAAATATGGAATGTCTATCCTTATATGGTGTTGTTTACAACTTTCGTGCAAACTAAATTTAGACCGTGTAAACTAAATTTAGACCGTAAAGTTTATACTGTTTTTCGAAATATAAGATATTCAAGCAAAAGTTTAAATGTTTTAAATACTGTTTTCTCAAAACAGAACATTTCGTGCTTTGAGATAAGATGGCCAAGACCAATTTGATCAGTTAATGTGTTTTTTATGCATAGTGCTTCAGCAGTTGACATATATAGAGCTCAGCGGGAACATATAAATTATAGCATCTGACCAATGAGAATTTCGCGTCACGATTTGAGACGCAGATATTCAAATTCATTAGTCATCGATGCAGGCTCTCAATTCAGCTTGAGAGCCTGTTCGCAGGCTAACACCAATCCAGATACTAGATTTCCTAGGATTCATGATCAATTCAGTAACTATGAAGTTTTATTTATGTCCGGAGAAGATAATGAAAACTTGTTGTCTGTGCAAATCCTCAATCCTCTATCTCAACTGTTGGGTTTTCTACAATCTTGTTGACCTTGACCAGCAGTATGCCTTGCTCCACTCCATTTTAGGCACCTTCAGTCATGCCTGATCAAGCAAGTAGTGTTGAATAATGGGAGTTATCATGGCACAGTCCACCTGAGCAGACTGGAACTGGGCTGCAATGATGGATTCTGAATATCCATCAGGTAAATGGACGTCCAATTCGTCCCCCTGCATCCGAAATAATTATAACATCGAATGCCCCCAAATTGGGCTGGGGGCCACTTGTGGCAATTTTTCAACCATTGGTCACATGAGAAGAGTCTTCTTCACAAAAATGTTCTGGAACTATCCTGAAACATTAATCAAACATAGTAGTGAAACTTCACCTGGACAATATGACAGCCTCATACATACAAATAAATGGACATGTCAAATAATAACACAATATGCAACGAGCAAACACTAGGGTTATCTAGTGATCAACAGAAACAGAAGATTGAAACATACCCTATTACATCTGATATGATATATCAGGTTACGGCAATGTCAAATATTATTCAGAGTACAGACATACCCGATGCTGAGAGAAAAAAACTGTACAACACAAACATGGAAAGTTATCAGAGTTTGAGGCAGCAGAAGGGCGGACAAATACCCAAATTTGCAGAACAAAAGCCCGATGAGAAGGCACCTTTATCAGATGCTGATGTGATTGGACATTTACCTGCGACCACGCACCCAAACGTAGCAACTCTTTTGAAACGTCTGAAAGTGAGACCTGACGTTTTTTCCTGGGATGAATCTGGTCAAGTTAAAGTGAATGGCAAAGAGATACCTGATTCGAATATATCAGATTTGGTCAGTGATACCATGAGGGCACGTAAGAATTTTAAACTTAAGGAGCCCAGGAATTCTTTCAGGGGTTGGCAAAGATTAATGTACCCAAAGATATTGCGAGAAACACAACAAGATGGAAGGAGGTTCAAATGGACGAACCAGCTGATACGGAAGAGGCTGTTTTCAGGACACCAAGCCCTGTGCAATGCTACCATAACTTTCTGAGAAGACAGCCAGTGAAATCAAAGCATTGGCTTAAGTATTAAATTATTATTGTAACTCTTTGCATGTGTTAATAAAATGTTTTAAAAAGGCAAATTTGTTTGATTATGTGTGGTTTGTATGTGGGGCATAAATTTGCACACATACACAGAATAAAAAACACATTAATGTTTACAACAATTTTGTTAAAAACGTATTTTTCCTGAACTGATTAAGGTTAACATTGGGATGTTTTAACAATATCTTAAAACGACTCTTAACAAACTGGGATACTCTGGTATCATTAGAGACCATATCATTGTTAAATAAATGTATGATCTTGTGCATGCTTTGATCTATGGCTAAGGTAAAATATACAATACTGGCCACATACTTTGAAAAGTCTCCAAATGATAACCTATATTACTCAGGTGCATGTCCATAACTGTCAAAGAATTCTCCTTTCTCTTCCAATGGGAAGTAGAAGGCAACCCAATGTGTTCCAGGTTCACTGCTTGGATCGGTGTTTGCAACAAATCCACACAGATATCTGTTGGTCGTCTGAGGCAGCTTGTCACTTGGGAACACGTCGCAAAACTTCTTGCCTGTTACAGGATCTTGTTGCAAGGCATGGGTTGTCTGGGCAGTGTTCATTTAATCAGATAATCATAGACAATGTGCATGGTATCCTCTGCGACTGCAGGCATGCCAGAGAACTGGATATCAATGGCTAGATTTCCTTTTTGTTCCCCGTTAAAATGAGGAGAGGCTTCACACATATCCGGTGTTAGATCAAACACGTACACAGCATATCTTCTCAAGATATATCGTTTCCTGTGTTGTAATATATTTTCCCCGTACCAGAAAACAGGGAGCTGAATGCTTTGATGTATTTGGGTGCTGCACCATAAAAAAGCTGTTTAAAAGGGTTTAAAAGACATTTCTTCTCCGATTACGGTTATTCGAATGGAGGACACATTGAAATGTTGAAAATTGTATGGATTCTTTTTCAAAGCACCATTAAACGCTTCACTTATGAGCATTGCAAAGACAAATATTTTCAGTATGAGCCCATTAAAAAGGTTATCTTTCCTCAGGGAGGGATTTCCTGCAGGGATGATAAAACCCTTGCATTCAACACAACAAATAGGATACATGGCTGGTCCTTTTTTGAATGTGATTTGATGGGCCACAGAAAAGCTCAGATTGACTTTCACTTTACTTATCTTGAGATAATTGACTTTCACTTTACTTATCTTGAGATAAGCATATATAGGTCCAGTCATTTCAACAATTTCACTTGTTTTGCTGATAACATATGCCACCTGCTATGGTAGGATCTGCAACATCCATTTTCCTGCAGTCTCTTTGTAATACAAGATGGCCAAGACCAATTTCAGCAGTTAACATGTTTTTTATGCATAGTGCTTGAATTGAAAGATATGACGATTGTTTAGATAATTACCTCAGTGTGTAATTTGTGTGATTAGTGTATTGAGTGAAACAATATAATTTGATTTATTTTATACAAGTGTATGAATAAGGCTTATAAGCCATATTTGAAAACTTAGAACTTGGAACATAGAACGTTTAACCTAAACACTCAGAAGAATCTTAGATTGAAGTATAGTCATAGATGTTGATGAACCGAGTTGTAAGTATAGATTAGTGTGTGTAATTAATGTAGTAATGATAGGTTTTATTCAATTTTTAGTTTGACTGCACTCATGTTGTATATACCTTAATAAACAGTGCAAAAACGTCTTGGTTCTTGGGTAGTTGGGCAGTCCTCAAATTCGTTCAAAAAACGAAACAGTGCTTTTCAGCAGTTGACATGTATAGAGCTCAGCGGAAACATACAAATTATAGCATCTGACCAATGAGAATTTCACATCACGATTTGAGATGCAGATATTCAAATTCATTAGTCATCAATGCAGGCTCTCATTTCACCTTCAGAGCCTGTTCACAGGCTAGGAGCAAAATAGTTTACTGCAGATATTACATATGTCACCGCATAATAACATTGGTACCTGTACCTGTAATGCTAATTGTAAAGAGGCCCTGAAAACAATGACAATGACAATTTATTGAGTACCAGATATTACAATTATCAATAAGACATAATTAAATTATACTTTTTTGAAGGTACAAGCTAACTGAAATAACCATTATGGGCTAAAACTAGTCAGCTGTACAATATAATTTGCATAAATAGGTCTACTGAATCATTGACTTATTTGTTGTCCCTTATGTCAATCTCATTTGCCTTAAAGTTCATAGATACATGTATGTATTATTGTTGTCAGTAACAGATATCTGCTGGCTACTTCCTAGATTCATCTGGCACATAAGCATTAACATTATTTGGCAGTGGCTGTGGAAAATTGAAGTTCTGGAATTGTGCAGGTTGACGTGCCCATTGTTGTAGATTTTGCTGCTGCTGGTGGTGGGAAAACAGAGTAGTTCGCATCTCAATTGACTGTGTCAATCCACAACCAATATTTTCAATGGCTGTGGTCATCTGAGTAATTGCATTGATTGTATTTCTTGATGACTCTTTCATAACTTCAGTCATTTCTTTTTTAAAATTCATTTCATCTTTGCTTTCTTTCAACAGGATCTGGACATGTTGTGCTGCACTAAGGGTACGCTCCATATATTTTTTTATATTATCAGTGAGCTTGAGGCATGTGTTTTTAGCCTTATTTAGCAACAGATCTACTGGCAGTGGTGCAGTCAGATAAATCAATAGATAAATTGTCAGCAAGGACTTCATTTTTTACGGTAAACTCACTTTCCCCACTTTCGTTTAAGCAATTGAATGTGTTGGTATCCACACCAGTATTGATAGGTTCAGATGATGTTGACCCTCCATAAACCGTATAGTATTCAAAAACAATTTTACCACTACCACTTTTGCCCGTATTCTAAAAGCTCACTCACACTCAATGAGTGGAGGTTCAATATGAGCTTCTCTTGAGTGTCGGTGCTGTTTTTGAATAGCTGGAGGGTGAGTAGTCGTATAGTAAGGTATGACACTGGCCCTCTAGCCATTCAAAAACAGCAATGGGACTCGAGAGAAGCTTAGATTGAACCTTCACTTATTGAGTGTGCTTTTAGAGTGTGGGCGTTTGTCTTCCATTCACCACTGCACTGCTAAAATTTTGACATAGTTCTTTAACTTTTTCTTGGATCCTTCCATAGCCTTTCTTGATTTGCTCACGCTGACGTTTTAGTTTCTTGATGTGAATATATATCTTTCTCCTCTTTGGTCATTTCAGTATTCAATGCTTTTTCAGCTTCTTGTGGGCCAAACTCAGCAGCATATATCCGCTGCATTTCAACCATGAAAAAGAAAAAAAAAATATGAAATATCAAAAAAAAATATTCTAGCAGATTGTCTTGAGATTCTATACAGATTGTTTGCTAATATATTAGTGATACTTTAATATAGAGCGTTAACTCGCTGGGGATATACAAATAAAAACTAAATTTCGGTGTCACCATATCTGCTCATAATTTGGTAACTGCTACAGAAAAACAAAACAATTTACAGAAAATTACATGTAATTTACAACAGATTGTGGAAGTGGGAAGGTTCTTATATTCTTGTACTGTAAAAGGCAGCCATTGCCAGTAAGTTAGAACAGTAGTGGTAACATAAAGTTTTGCTGCCGCTACCTAGTACAGTTTACAGATCTAGACAAGTATAATCAACTCGAGTACATTTTAGAGTGAGACTTTATTGAGGAGAAATAGTACAGAAAGAGCTGACAGTTCAGTTAGCAATACTTGCAGATACGCATCGAAGTATTACATATTTTTCTACAGTATACATCACATTAGAACAAAATTCTGAAACAATCACCACGAATATTTGAAGTTTAAATATTCAGTTTGAGTATGAATTATGATTATATAATCACGGAACAAATCTTGCATCTGAACAAACCAAATTTGACAAGTTCTTTTAATGGAAACCATTTCTGTAAGCTTTTATAATGTTTATTTTTTATGAAGCGTCGATAGTTCAATTTCATTGATTTACCAGTACTCGGTCCAGTAGAGATGGCGATGTTCATTGTAAAGGTACCAATAGAATAGAATAGAAACTTTATTTCACGAGGGAAAATGTATTAACCGTAAAAGTTATCTAACATACGGCCCTCGCACTATTTTGATATTTACAGGCATAAAAAGTATTAAGGATTACGACTATTTACATTTGAGAAAAAAATAATTAGTAATGAATACAATTACAATTTAGTAAATATTTACAATTTATACAAAATAGATCTTCGATATGGTTAGTAAGGGTAAGCTCGTTAAGAAAGATTTTACGAATTTTTTGTTTGGCATTAGTATATGAAGAGCAAGATGGCGAAGCAGCAAGTTACTTACAATCGCTATCTAAGCAATTAAAAAGAATGGAAGCACTGTACAGAAATGTTCGTTTACCAGAGTCAGTATGCGGGAAGGGGGGTTGAAGGTCATATGCGCAAGCTCTAGTCAGAGCCCGTTGTCGGATAGAAGATAAGAATTTAAACATTTGCTTAAATGAAGATGAAACACTGGGATTTGTGAGAATGTTAATTAGTAAGAGAAGCTTCCTAAATTTAACAAGATCAAAAATTGGGATTATTCGAATCTGGGAAAAAAGAAGAACAGAAGGAGTAGAAAAGTCAGCGTCTAGAATAATACGTGCTGCACGCTTTTGCAGTCAAAGAATGCAAAGTAAAAGTGTTTTTGAGCAGTTTCCCCAAGTTACAGAGCAGTAGATAAGACTTGAATTAATAAAGGAGTTATAGAAACGAAGAGCACAGTCCTTAGTTAAAAAGGGTTTAATCCTGCGTAATAAAGCAAGTCTACTATTGATTGTTGAACACAAGTTGTCAATATGCTTGGTCCAAATTAAAAACTCGTCAAGCGTTAAACCCAACACTTTTGCTTGCTTCACCTGTGCAAGTATGTTGCCATTAAGAGTAACTGATAGAGAACGGCCTGAAGTATTCTTAAGTTGTTGGGGAGAATGAATGAGCATGGTCTTGGTTTTCAATGTATTAGTCACCATTCGGTTTTGTTGAGTCCATGTTGAGAGATCTTGAGCAACAAGGTTAAGTTTCACATTTAAATCATGAATGGAAGAACCTTCTGTTAGAACGATGGTGTCATCTGCAAACATTGTGGATTCTGAATGTAAAAGTTGAGAAGGGAGATCATTGATAAATAAGATAAAAAGAAGGGGGCCAAGAATACTTCCTT